TATTCTTGAAATTGTAGGTTAGCCAGAGCGGACACCAAGCGGTGTGTTCTAGCATGCAATGTGGTGCAACCTGCGAGAAGTAACACATGTGGTGTGAGCTACGTGGTGCAATCTACGTGTTGAGTCTACGTGGTGAAACTAATCCATGTAGTGTAACACATATGTTGCGTTGAAGATATATGGTCAAATCTATGTGGTGCAGCCTGGACGCCTCCAACAAATCACTCAAGAAGCTAAAGCGAAACGGAAAATCACGACTACTCCATATGCCTTGATCAACGACCCCCCTAAAAATTGGCCCCCCCCATGCTTCGGCTACATATTATTCCGGCCCCCCATCCATGACAGCCGTTTTGATATGACCGCCCCCCCTCTTGGGTCATGGAATTCCAGTTATGGTGGTGGAAATGATTGGGCTGAGGTTGCGCGATGATGACGGCGTTGGTGATCAGATCATTGTCGACTGCGATGTCGACAACGCTGGTGATCGTTCCCGTTCCACCTTACTCTCCCCTCACCACTCCTCTTCCACACTGCTCCTACCCCCCTCTACTTGGTTATTCGATGGACTGACCAGTGAGAGTCACATCTGTGACCTGTGCCCGTATGCGAATTTGCGTTGCAACAATTTTGCATTGGAGGCATGTTGCCGTGTCCGCGCCTGCATGCGCATGCTTGAATTGTTCGTGCGTCGATGTGTTTAGCGTCGCATCGAAGATAACCTATAAACAATTTGCCGCGCTTCGCACAAACAAATATTTGTTGTTTGCGTTCGCGGTGATGGTGACGCGTTGCGTGATAAATGTCAATGCCGAGATGGCGATAAAAAGTGAGCCGTGAGAATCCAACCCCCTTTGGCTTCGGTCACGCGACACCGCCAAAATAAAACGGCCCGGCCCGCCCTCCGAAAAGGCGCCTTAACGAACCGGCCCCACTTGGCATATGGAGTGCAACCGCTGGTCCCTGTGCAGGGAGGACCTAGCGGGGTGGTGGCACTTTTGTGCTCTCGCCCCGCCAGGACAGCGAGACTCGCCAAAACCGTGGCGTGACCAAGGGAGCAACCTGCACAGCCTTCTCGCCCCCTGTGGGCACGCTTCGGCCACCCGCGGGCCGGATGTCCCCGCTGACATGACAACAGCGGAGGGGGAGGAAGGGAAAGGGAACACCCCGCGGCAGCTCACGTGGCCCGCGCGGGGCCGCTCGCGCAGTCTCCGCCGATCGTTGTACTAGGACCAGACAGCCTTCGAGGCCAGGAGGAGGGAAGGGCGAGGAGTAGGAGGCATGACAGGGGGGGAGCACAACAACGTCATCTGCTGTCCAGACCGCGCGGCTGACACGCAGGGGGCAAAAATCCGCAATGGCCCCAGACGCAGGCGCAACGACGAGCGGGGAAAGAGGAGGAGAGGGAGGCGACGGAGGCGACAAGCGGCATCGCGGCCTCTGGCCCAAAATGAACGGGAGGGGGGGGGGGGGCGGGAGGAGGAGGGTGGAGGACGGGCAGCAGGCACGCAGGCAAGCCGGCAGCGGCGAAGGAAGCACGGCCGCGGGGTGTAACCCACCAGGCCCCGCTACTTAGGCGCGCGCGCAGGCGGGGTGCCGGAGGGCGGGCGGGGGGCCCGGGCCTGCAGGGGCGGGCGATTCGGCGTTCATCGTCGTCGCTCTGGTCATGGCACCGCGCTCTGATGCGGGCGGGCGCCCCACGCCACAACGCCACGCTGGCCGCGGTTGCCACGCGGCGGTCCCGCCACGCCCCGTCCGATCATACCCTGCGCCGAACAAGGCGGGTCGTGAGTGCGCGGGGGACGGATGTCGTCCAGGGCGGGGTCGGCCGTAGGCTGACCAGATTCTTGGTTGGCGCAGAATGTTTTAACATTCTGGAACATCGCTGTGAACGGCGTAAGAAACACGACGTTGCGGTCGCAAGTGCTGGACACGCAATCTGGGCCCGCAGTGCGTGCGTCGGACGAAGCGATCCCGATGTCGAGTGCAGCGAGTCCGTGCCCGAACGCCCCCATGAAGGCGTCCGCGGGCCGCAAACGGGTGCCGAGAACGAGGTGCTGCGCCTCGAGCTCGGTGGCTGGGTCGCATGTACTGGCGACCTGGGAAACCTGCCTGGCAAGCGCATGGTGTCCCTTCGTGGCCTCTCCTGTGCTGCAGCAGAGGGCGTGCGCGCCAACGGAATCGAGCAGCGTGGTGCCGCAAAGGTGGCAGGGGTTGGCTCGATGGGGCCGGCGGCGCCGAAGCGTAACCGGAGCATTTCCACGACGCTCCGATGGTCAATGAGAGGCCCTTTGTTCTGGCTCAGGGCCACAAGCCACTCGCGGTTGATGTTTGGGTGGCTGAGGCCCTTCAAGCGCCCCAGCGCCGGGAGGTGCAATCTATATTGCGAAATCTACATTCTGCCATCTCTGTGGTGCAACCTACGCGGCGCAATCCACGTAAAACAATCTACGTGCTGCAACCTGTGGTGTAATCGATACGGAACAACGCACCAGTGCTCAACTAGAGATTGTCCACTCCACTGTTCGCGCACTCGACGCACCCACCCACCCGCAACATGCTTTGCAAAACTCATGCGGGGGCGATTGTGATTAGTGCTTGGCGTTGGCTGGTGCATCTGTGCGGCCGCGCAAGCCCGCGCGCGCAACGGCCAGATAGTTTGGCGCGACCGACGAGGCCGCGGTGGCGCGGACCGCTGGGCACGTCCCAGCGGGCGTTTCAGTGCGAGTCGGCGACTTGGGCGGGCGCGGTATCATGGCAACGTCGACAACATTAGACGCGATGATGATAGTAGCGATGCTGGAACGATGTTGACAACGACGACGGCACGGCCAGTGACGGCGCCGATGCTGATCACACCGGCGGCAATGACTGCGTCCTCGCGTCGGTGATGACCGTTGTGGAAGGAGGTCGACATGCGCGCGCGACCGACGCGCGAGAGTGGCCCTTCATGGTTTTTTAGACACGGATCGGGCCCCCCCCCCCAGCACGCGCGCAAGGGCGTTCGAATGACTTCGGCATGCGGCGCGAGACTCCCATTTGGCCAATTGAAAAACAAATGGTTTCTTAAGGATTGGGTTTTTTGTCCCAACCATCTTGTGGTGCTGGGTCATCGTTTTGAAGAGACACCGCGCCGCGTCTCCTCTCCTCCTCTCCTCCTCGCCCCCCTTCCTCCTCCCATCCCTGCCTCTGCCCTCCGAACCAGCCAACAATTTTGGCACCCCTCACACGCTTCGTGGCCCCATCTGGAGCCCATCCGGCAGCCCAAGTGTCAGCGTTCCGGGAGTTTTCGAAGGATTCTGGCATGCGCGCCCGACGACGCGTGCGTGCGCCCTTCGTCATTCTGCTGCAAGGCACTCTTGCCAACTTATGATCTTCGATGAACGAGTGTTGTGCGCGCGTAGTCTTTTTTGCAGAGGATGGCGGGGGTGGGTGAGCCCGGCTCGGCTGGCATGGTATGAATCATATTTCGGATCGACGATGGGGCAGAATTGCAACACAAAAAAGTGTACCGATAAAGCGGGGGGGCGTAGAGTCGATTCTCCTTTTCGAAAGGAGAATGTTCATGGTGTAAGCTTTGAGGTGCAGGCTGTGTGGTGCAACCGACGTTACGCAGTATATGAGGTACCACCTGCGTGGTGCAATCTATGTGATGCGATCTATGTGGTGCAAACTATGTGGCGCAATCTATGTCACATGATTTCGGTGACGCAATATATGCGGTGCTATCGACGAGGCTGGCGAAATGCGACGGCAACGGGCGGCGACGGCGACAACAAGCGCCGCGACCGACACCCAAGCGCAGAAGCAGCGGCGACGGACGGCGGCGACGGGCGGCGATGGCGACAACAAGCTGGCCAGACCGACACCCAGGCCGAATTCCTTTTGGACGAAGCTAGACCCCGTGAGTACAAACACTGTATGGGGAACAACCACAACGCATCAGGTGGGGAACGGATGTTTGGACCCCCTTCTCTGTCGCGTGAAGCGCGGCAGTGTTGACGTCGGAGGCGCCGCCAGGGGGGGCTCGGCGCTGGCCCGAGACATCTGCCCGAAGCTCCGACAGCTCATGGTTCTGCCGATCCTCGGTGTGCGAAGTCTTGCCCTCGAGAGGCTCCGCCAGGGGGGGGCTCGGCGCTGGCCCAAGAAATCCACGCCAAACTCCGACAGTTGATGGTTATGGCGATCCTCGGTGTTCGAAGGTTTGTCCTCGAGCTGCCCTGGTCGCGCGCTAGGCGGACACAGGCCAGCGCGAAGGCCGCAGCCCTGCTGGCTCAGACAAGGACCCAGAGCCTAATGCGCGCCGCCATCAATAGACAAAAAACAGAGGGGTGACAATGGGAATGCGCTAAGAAGCGTTAGCGGAGGAAAGTGGAGGCGAGGATCGAAAAGGAGGATCGATGGTCGAGGAGGGAGGAGGGTCGACGACGAGCACTGCGTCGAGGACAAAAGAGAGGACCGAGGACAAAAGAGAGGATCCAGGACGATGAGGATCGAGGACGATGACGATCGAGGAGGATTGAGGGTCGAAGATCGCTCATCGAATCTGTAGATGTGTGACAATTTGGGCACCTTCGGGGTCTGCAGAAACTTCTCGAGGCCTCCGGAAACCTCCGCGGAACCAGGAAGACCTCATGACTCTCGAAGTGTCCAGAGGAGGCAAAAAGGATGAAGGGGGAGGAAATAGACATGATAATGTGATATATTAACATCGAGACAGATATGGAAACGGAAGATCGGGAGAAGGAGGAGAGGGAGCTTGGGACGGGAGGGTGTGCCTTCAACCTCGTTGCCGCATCCTGGGCTTACCCTGGTTGTCCTCCCTGTCCTCCTCGTCCTCACTTTTCCGCCTCCGCCCTGCTCCTCCTGACCTCCCGATCCGCCTCCCTGCTCCACCGCCTCCGCCCTCCCGTTCCTGCACCCTTCCGTGTCCGATGTCTCCGCCCTCCTTTTCCCCCCGCCGCCTCCGCCCTCCCTTCCTCCCTCAGCCCCCGCCCGTCTTTTCTTTTTTCGCCGTGCGAGCCCACCCTCTGCGCGAGCGACTGGGCGGGGGCGGCCCGGCTCGGCCAAGGGCAACGGCATCACGCGGCGTCGGGGAGGCGCTGGAAGCGCAGGGAGTAGTCGTACGCAACGACCGCCCGGTCGCCCGCGTCGAAGAAGAGGGCGTCGTTCGGGTTGAGGAACGCAGCCACGCGCAGCTTCGCCAGGATCTCGTCGGCGGACGTCCGCTGGAGAGCCAGGATGGTCTTGTAGTCGTAAGCCTGCGACGTCTCCTCGGCGAACTGGCGGTAGAATTCGCTGCAGATGAAGGCATCGTCTGTCTCGAAGCCGCCCTCGCGGTTGTTGATGAAGAGCTCGATCGCGCGCTGTCCCAGCGGCGCGCAAACGGGGGCGGGGCGAGTGACGAAAAGCAGGGCCTCCTGAAAAGACCGAGGGCTTCATATCAGCCTTCCTGCCTTCCAAGAAACATCCTCAGAAGCTTCTGGCCGTGGCGTCGGGAACTCCCCCAGAGGTCCAACAAGTATGAAACACACACACACAAACACACAAACACACACCAATTTAAACCTCGATCCTCCACCCACCAGGCATATCGGGCGCATGCTGACCTGGACCGTGCATTTGGCGCGGGGGCGCCACATCGACGGATCGGGGAGAGTACCCTCCGACACATGAGGCTAATGCGGCCAGATTTGGCGACGGAGCGTACCGATGTTGAACGGAAGCGGGGCCCGTCGCCGATCCACGCGCCAGAACACATGGCTGCTTGCGCTTCCCCGACAAGAGCACTTGAGAAACCTTCGATGCTCGATCCCCGCCCCCCCGTGCGCGCCGCCGAGCTTGACGCGCTTCGGGGGCTCTACCTCACGCCCGCAGGGAGTACGGAAACAGTGGGTACGATGCCCAGGAGCAAATGTGGTCCAACACCGACGTGCTGGGCAGGCGGCCTTCTGCCACAAACGGGCAACGCCCGCGGCTCAAAGTTGGGGAAACCATGATGTACCGATGCCGCTGTCCCCCAGACCTCTCCAAGGGTGCGTTCTGACCAGGATCTCGAGCCGCATCCGGCCGTGGTGACGAGGGCCTCCCAGGAGGCCCTGAAAAAGAAAAAACACTAGGGAAGGGCAGCGGCACCCCTGGAAAAATGGGAGGAACTGACGCTGTCCTTCTTTCCGTACCCATGTCGGTCGCTGCCAAACTTTAGCCGGGCCTGTCCCCCTACAGGGGGATTTTGGACGGAAAATAACACATAGTCCACACATACCCCAAAATAATCAAAACATTGTCAAACAAGTCGTCCACAGATTATGTTTTGGACTATGTTTGAATATTCCACCTGTAGAGGGACAAGCCCGACTCAACACTAGGGAAGGGCAGCGGCACCCCTGAAAGATGATGGGAAGAACTGCTGCTGTCCTGCGTCCCCCTTCCTTCCGTACACGTCGTTCATTTCTAATCGTGCTCATTTCCAATTGTGCTCGTTCCTAACTGCTCCTGGCCCCCTGGTGGCCAGAAAGAGGCCCAGGATAGAAGAATTAGAACTGAAAGGATCTTGGCCCCCAAAGAATGGAAGACCTTCCGAAGAATCAGAAGTGAACCATGTGCACCCAGCTCGTGGGAAGCCACAAGAAGGTCCTTAGAACATGGCTTGGCAGGCCTGACTCGGCGAGCCAGGACGCCTCGCCACTGTTTGCGTCCTGCGCCCCCCTTCCTTCCGTACCCTCGGGTGTTGCTAGAAGTACCCCTGGCCCAAAATGGTTGAAAAATGCAAAAAATAGTCCCCAGGCAATTTTTGGGTTATTCATCAAAAAAATGTGTTGGGGTATGTTTTTTGGGTCCGTCGAAGATCCCCCTGTAGGGGGACAGGCCCGACTCAAAAAAGTACCCCTGGCCCAAGGTACCCCCAGGGATCCTCGGGGTGGCCCCGACGGCCTCCAGGGCACCCAGAGGGCCCCATGGGGCTCCAAAGTGGAGCGAAAATCGGGTCGGGCGAAAGGGGGGCATAGCAAAGGGGGGAGTTGTGAATCAGCTCACGTAGCTGATTTTCCCGGCGCCTCCCGGCGCCAGAGGCGGCAATGTATCGAGGAATGGGCCCCTCGGTGAGGCCGAAATCAGCTGCATGCAGCAAATGTTGTAACCCCCCCTTTCCCAATCCCCCCCTTTCGTCCGGCCCGAGAAAAGCTGGGGACTCCTCGGGCCAGCGGCACTCCCAGCAGCACCCGATGCCCATGCCGGCCGCTGCCAGACCTCGGCGCCCCGCAGGCCCTGCGTGCCGCTCTTGCGGCTGGGCGTGGTGTAGTCCAGGGTCAGCCGCGTGGGGTTCTCCCCCGGCCGGTACCGAGCCTGCGGGGACGGCGGCGCCGCGGGAGGGCAGGGAGGCCCTTCGCTGGAGAGGGGGGGGGCCTCCTCCCCATCACCCCCTTCTCCCTCCTCACTGCCCCCTTCTCTTCCCCACCATCCTCCGTGCACCTCCCCCTTCATACCTCTCCAGCATCCTCCGTCTCATCTTCCTCCGTTAACCGTCCAGCCTCCTCCTCCCCTCCTCCCCCCCGTCGCCCCTCCCCCTGAACCTCTCTCCTCATCCCACTCGACCTTCTATTCCTCATCTTCCTCCCCCCCTCCTCACCCTCTTCTTTCCTCCCCCTCCAGCACCCTCCACGACGACACGTTGCCACAACCAATGACGTGCTCCAGGGCCCATCTATGAACGGAGATCAAGGGCCAACACTTCCCGAACGGGCTCCGTACCGAAGAGGAGGGCCCAGACCTCCGACGACATGATTTGCTTAACCCGCGGCCCCAGAGGTCACGACCGCTTCCCTGGGGCCAGTTCTTCGGCCCGGATGCAGTCATCGGCCTGACCTAAGGAACGATAAATAAGGAACGAAGCCCCTTTCTTATCCCAGGGAATAACGCATAAGGAACGATAAATAACAAATAATGCATAAGGAACGCAAGCCGAAGGAACGACCGAACCCCTTTTGAAAAGCAAGTATTCCTTACTCAAGCCGCTCACTATACATGCTCGATGGCCCCGCGGGCCCCAGGAGCCGAAATCGAGGATGCACGCCCGGCTTGACCAGATCGTCGGAGATCTGGGGAGGAGGAGGAGGAGGAGGAGGAAGAGGAGGAGGAGGAGGAGGAGGAGGAGGAGGAGGAGGAGGAACAGGAGGAGGAGGAGGAGAAACAGGAGGAGGAGGAGGAGGAAGAGGAGGAGGCCTGTGCATCTTCCACCTGGGGCCAGAACGCCCGCAGCACCACGGGCACGTTGAAGGCGCGGTCAGCAACGACGCCGCCCTCCAAATCGGAGGCGGCGTACCTCTGCTCGAACGCCTCGGGCGGGTCGAACCCCACATCCGCCACGAAGACGATGGTGCCCTTCCTCACGGAGAGGCCAGACCCGTCGCGCAGTGACAAAAATTAGCCCGGCGAAGAACCCAACCATATGCAGTTGTGGGTACCGCAGTTGTGGGTGTCGCCTTTGGTGGAGCTCTCTATGGGCCACGAAATGCTGCATTGGGTGGGGGGACGCATGTGGACAGCGCCACTGCGGCCTTGGGTGGAGCTCCCTATAGGGGCAGGAAGCGCCGTGCTGGGTGGGGGAGACGCATGTGTGGACACCGCCCTTGGCACCTTAGGTGGAGCTCCCTGTGGGGCCACGACGTGCTGTGCTGGGTGGGGGGGACGCATGTGGACGCAGCCATTCGGGCCCTTAGTGGAGCTCCCTGTGGGGCCACGAAGCGCTGTGCTGGGTGGGGAGACGCATGTGGGCACCATCACTGTGGCCTTCTGTGCAAATCCCTATGGGGCCACGAAGCGCTGTGCTGGGTGGGGGAGACGCATGTGGACACCGCCACTGGGGCCTTCGGTGGAGCTCCTTATGGGACCACGCAGCGCTGTGCTGGGTGGAGGAGACGCATGAGAACACCGCCACTTGGGCCTTAGGTGAAGCTCCCTATGGGGCCACGAAACGTGCTGGGTACAACCACTGGGTCCTTACGTGGAGGCCCCGATGGGGCCACAAAGCGCCGTGCTGGGTGGGGGAGACGCTTGTGGGCACCATCTCTGTGGCCTCAGGTGGAGGTCTCGATGTGGCCACGAAACGCTGCGCTACGCATGTTAACACCACCACTGGGGCCTTCGGTGGAGCTCATTATGGGACCACGAAGCGCTGTGCCTGGTGGAGGAGACGCATGAGGACACCGCCACTTGGGCCTTAGGTGAAGCTCCCAATGGGTCCACAAAACGTGCTGGGTACAACCACTGGGGCCTTACGCGGAGGCCCCGATGGGGCCACAAAGCGCTGTGCTGTGTGGGGGAGACGCATGTGGGCACCATCGCTGGGGCCTCAGGTAGAGGTCTCTATGTGGCCACGAAGCGCTGCGCTACGCATGTGAACACCGCCACTGGGGCCTTCGGTGGAGCTCCTTATGGGACCACGCAGCGCTGTGCTGGGTGGAGGAGACGCATGAGGACACCGACACTGGGGCCTTCGGTGGAGCTCCTTGTGGGGCCACGAAACGTGCTGGGTGCAACCACTGGGGCCTTACGTGGAGGCCCCGATGGGGCCACGAAGCGCTGTGCTGGGTGGGGGAGACGCATGTGGGCACCATCACTGGGGCCGTAGGTGGTGGTCTCTATGTGGCCACAAAACGCTGCGCTACGCATGTGGACACCGCCACTGGGGCCGTAGGTGGAGCCCCCTCATGGGGCCACGAAACGCTGTGCTGGGTGGGGGAGACGCAAGTGGACACTGCCACTGGGGCCTTATGTGGACACCGCCACTGGGGCCTTAGGTGGAAGTCTCCATGAGGCCACGCAACGCTGTGCTGGGTGGGAGAGGCGCATGTGGACACCGCCCAGGGGCCTTATGTGGATGTCTTTATGGTATCAAGAATCACTGTGTTGGGTGGGGGAGACGCATGTGGACACCGCCACTGGGGCCTGGATTGGAGTTCCCTATCGGGCCACGAAGCGTGTGAGGGGTGTACCGAAGTCAAGGGGGTAGCGGGAGGAGAGAGGAGGGAGGAGAGGAGGAGACGAGGAGGAAGAGGAGACGCAGGGACTGTCTCTTCAAACAGAAGGCCCGACAACAAGTTGGTTGGGACAAGGACGAAAGGTCAACTCCAAGTTCTCGACTTCTGGGGGCCATCACCAAGCCTCAGGGCCACCAACAAAAAACCTCAGGATGAAAAGCTGGCCCTGCGGAAGTGGTCGGGACTCTGCGGGGTACCCCATATAGACACATCGAGGCATCGCATGTCTGGATGGCTGGGACCATCCCTCCTGGAAGAGGCGAAAGGGCCCATACACCATCCCATGGCCCAGGATGGTCCTGGTCAGGCATGGTGGCGTATAACTGGCATGCCCGAAATTGGTATGCACGAACGACTGCAATGCCCAACAACAAATGGTGCCAAAATCCGGGAGCGGCCGCTGTTCAGCAGGCGACTTTTTCTCTCAAGTGCACACCGACCGCAGCGACACCGACAACGACTCCTGCTCAAAAGGGAGGCGGACTGCTATCGGTCTTCGCCCGTAATCTCTCGTTTGAGACGCACAGAGACATACTAATACTATATGTCCGCCTTGGAGGCGCGAGTCCGACCCGAACATATAGTATACCCATCTTGTAGTATATCGTTTCTCGAGCGGCGTGGCCAGAAAGCGCCCGCCACGACGCATATACTATACGATCTCTCGGTGCGCGCGTCGCCCCTGGGGGGGCGACGGAGACATAGCACAAGTATGTTTGGGGGGCGCCGATCGTTCCGATCGTACCAGGGTTACGTAAAAAAAGCTTTTTCTGCGGACTCCTGCTGCCGGCGACCGAGGGCCCCACGAAGCGCTTCCCCAGCGGCGCGGATGCCCCGAGGAACTTGGCCCGCACGCCCCAGCGCCCCTCCATCCACTGCGGGTACAGCAGCTGCAGCCCCCGCTTGCCCGGCAGCAGCTGCTGGACAGACCACGACTGGCCGGGGCTGCGCACGGCCTCCTCCGCAGGCTCGATCCCAGCTGCACGGGGGAAAGGGTGACCACGCCGAGCGTAGCTACCTTTCCAATTGACATGCGACGATATGATCTTTACGCTGCGCGGCCTCGGGGATCCCGATCCCTTCCCCCGGGGCAGGTTTTTCGCCCCAGGTGCACGCTGAGGTCACGCGGCCCGAGAACGGGCCGCAGAGCGCGAAATCGGAGAGACGTAGCCAGATAGCGACATCAAACCAGCGGAGACCTGGACGCTCAATTACGCTGCACATCTTGGGCGCCCGAATTGTCTGGGGTAACTCGGGTCCGGGGGAACTCGGGTTTGGATTCCCGAAAAAGGAACCCGAGTTAGCCCTGACCCGAGTTACCCCTGATGATTCGGGGCTCTGGACGCCCGAGTTGTCCGGGGTAACTCGGGTCCGGGGTAACTCGGGTTTGGATTCCCGGGCAACGAACCCGAGTTAGCCCTGACCCGAGTTACCCCTGATGATGCGGGGCTCTGACATACGCTGCACGTCTGTTCTTCCCCAGTTCCTCGCCGTTGAGCTCCCGCCGCAGCTTCCTCGCGGCGGGCGACTCCTGCAGCGCCCGCGCCAGGCCAGGGCTTCCGGGCCCGAGCAGCGCCGCCGCGGCGGTGGCCGCGGCCGCCCGGCGCGGCCGCCACGCCGCTCGGAGGGCCGCCTCGGGGGATCGGCGGAAATCGGCAGCCGAGTCGGGAAAAGTCGAGTCGGCGGAAATCGGCAGGCTAATATGCCTCCAATAAGAAATCGGAGCCCTAATCGGAATCCCAAGTCGAATCGAATCGTAATCGGAAGCCGTCGAAGTCGAACCGAATCGAGTCGGAGGAGTCGAAATGAGCCCTGGCCAGGCTGACGGTTTTCGAGCGAGGCTGGCCAGCCGAAGTCGTCGGCCGACGGGGGCGAGGACGCGAGTGTACTGACTACCTACCAGACGACCCCAACCCAACCCGAAGACCCGAATTTCGGGTTGGGGGGGTATGGGCTCCATATGTGTGTTTTTTCGATGTTCCCGGACCCCCCCCCCACTAGAAATCGAGGGTAAATCTGAGCCTTCGGGTTGGGTTGGGGCGGTTTGGTGGGTGGTGGAAAGGCTACTCCGGGCACGTAGCGCAGAGGCAGTACCAGCTCCAGCACGAACGGCTTCCAAGGTAAGTACACAAGCCGCTAATCCGCGGAACCCCCCTGCAGGTGCGCTCCGACCAGGACCCGAGGCGAACCCAGCCGTGGCGCCGAGGAAAGGGTATATAGCGGTGTCGGCATCTTCTCCTCGCCTGAACCTCCGGGGCCCACACCAGGTCCCAGGACCGGCAAACAACCGACTCGGGAGGAGGAGGAGGAGGAGGAGGAGGAGGAGGAGGAGGAGGAGGAGGAGGAGGAGGAAGAGGAGGAGGAGGAGGAGGAGGGGGAGGAGCGATAGGGGGGGGGGCCGGCTCAGGGGAGGGGGGACCGTCGATCTGGAACTGGCGACACGCCGCCGACAGCTCGACGACGGGCCTCCGAGCCTCCTGCCACCGCGCGGCGCCCTCCGGCGCGCCGCGGGCCCGCGGCTGCCGCAGGGCGCCGGCCGCGGGCGCCCGCGGCCGCGGCGGCTCGGCCGCCCCGCAGCCGCAGCACGCCCGCGGCCGCCCCGGGCGCGAGGCGCGGCGCCGCGGCGGCGGCGAGCAGGCCGGCCAGCGCCGCCGCGGGCGCCGCCCGCCGCGCCGAGCGCCGCGCGGCGCTCGCCGGCGCCTCGGGGCGCGGCGGCGTGCCGGCGGCGCCCGCCGCGGGGCGCCAGCGGCCGCGCATGGCCGGGAGCGGGGCCGCGCCCGCCGCCCGCGCCTGGAGGCACCGATGGCGCTGATCACGGCATGTCTGCCGCCGAGCGACCCAAATCACTCCACCTCGCTCTCAAAATCTGTAAAAATCTATCTAAAGTTAACGCAAATCCAAAAAAACACTTATTTTGCGAAGAACCGCCCAAATCAGCGAAAACATGCACTTTTTTTCACTAGCCAGTGCACTGACCTTGGTCGTCTGCATCCCGGGCGTAGTCTTCAGCAGGGTGAGGGGGCCAGACGGGCATCGCATGCTCCCCTGCATCAGCCTGCAATAGCGGGGGTGTCCGCTACCCCAGCGTCGACTGGACCCGCAGGGGTAGTGTTCGCAAAAGGTCGCAGACACTGAGGAGAAGGAGTAGGAGGAGGAGGCGGAAGCCCAAGAGCGCCCCGGACACCTGCCACAGCCTTCTCGGACCTCGCGGTGTTTCGATCGTCGTTTTCTCCAATGCGTGCCTGTCCTCCCGATTTGACCATCAAGAGAGAACTCTGGATGAAAAGCCGGCGCCAGGGGAAGGGTCGAGGCCACGCTGGGCCACGCCTGGCACAAACAACTAGAAGTCCGGAGACGGGGGCGAAAAAGCATACATCTCTCCACGTTCCCTCTGCCCTCTGCCCCCCTCTTCCCCGTCTGTTGCCGACATTCGGCCACTGATGCGCTCCCGCCGGTAGAGGACGAGAGATGGGAGCATAGCGCTAGTGACATAGCGAGAAAAGCAGATAGATAAGGGGGAGGGAGGGGATAGCCCACAGCAAACTACCGACATGCATATCGTATATATATATATATATATACAGAGAGAGGGAGACAGAGAGACAGAGAGACAGAGAGACAGAGAGACAGAGAGACAGACAGACAGACAGACAGACAGACAGACAGACAGAGAGACAGAGTGAGAGAGAGAGAGAGACAGACAGACAGACAGACAGACAGACAGACAGACAGACAGACAGACAGACAGACAGACAGACAGACAGACAGACAGACAGACAGACAGACAGACAGACAGACAGACAGAGTGAGAGAGAGAGAGACAGAGAGAGAAAAATTATTCACTGCGTGGAGCTCCCCATATGTGCATCTACTCGCATGGACCTGTCCGCCGTGAATGTCCAGGCGCAAGAGCTTTCGAATATTAACGGGCTTCAGTTGTGACGGTCTGGACATCAATCTAACTGCGAATGAATTGGAGTGTGAATGAGCCTCAGTAGTACGAGCGCGTCTCTGTGCATGAGCCTGGGGCCTCCTGGGGCCTCCTGAAACCTACTGGGGCTTCCTGGGGTCTCCAGGAGCCTCTTGGGACCTCCTGGGACCTCCTAGGAAGGTTTCGTGCCCCAGGGGAGGCGCAATCTATAGCAACAGACGTACATAAAACATTGCGGATTAGAGCCACAGGAGAAGGGCAATATATAGGAACACGCGTAAAACACCAAGGACTCGTGCCCCAGGAGAGGCCCAATACATAGGAGCATGAGTAAAACATTTAGGATTGTGTACACAGGAGAAGGACCATCTATAGAAACATACGAGGATTCGTGCCCCAGGAGAGGCCCAATCTATAGCAACAGACGTACATAAAGCATTGCGGATTGGAGCCGCAGGAGAAGGGGGCAATCTATAGAAACACGCGTAAAACACCAAGGACTCGTACCCCAGGAGAGGCCCTATAGGAACATTAGTACACAGGAGAAGGACAATCTATAGAAACATACGTATAACATCAAGGATTCGTGCTCCAGGTGAGGCCAATCTATAGGAGCATACGTAAAACACATGGGATTGGAGCCACTCCTGTTGCCTTCTGAGGCCTCCTGCTCCTGGGGCCTCTCGGGGCCTCCTGTTGCCTTCGGAGGTCTCCTGGCGCTTCCTCTGGCCTCCAAGAGCTGGCGCTTCCTCTGGCATCCTGGGGCCTCCTGTGGCTTCCTGAGGCCTCCCGGAGCTTCCTGGGGCCTCCTAGAACCTCTTGGGACATCCTGTGGCCTCTTGAGTCTTTCTGTGGCCTCCTGATGCCTCCTGGGACCTCATGTGGTCTCCTGGGGCCTCCTGGAGCCTGTTGGAGCCTCCTGTGTCATCCTGAAGAAATTCTGTGCCCACGAGTCTGGCCACCGATCGAGACATCCTCAAAATCTGGCCCACCTGGGGGGTGAAAATGAGCGCCTCGCTCGAGACATCCTCCACATCTGCTCCGAAAGCAAAGATGTTGGGACAGAAAAACAAGCAAACCGCTTGAGACATCCCCACAAAACGGCCGCAAGCGGGACCGTGAGATAACCCCTGGCGGCTCCCCTTAGGGAGGTGAAAATGAACGCTTCGCTCGAGACATCCTCCAAATCTGCTCCGAAAGCGAAGGATGCTGGGACAAAAAATGACCAAACCGCCTGAGACATCCCCACAAAATTCCGCGAACGGGACCCCGTGAAATACCCCCCCGCCGCCCCCCTTAGAGTGCTGAGACGAGCGAATCGCCTGAGACATCCTCCAAATCTGCTCCGAAAACGAAACATGTTGGATCAGAAAATGGCCAAACCGCCTGAGACATCCCCACAAAATTCCGCGAACGGGACCCCGTGAAATACCCCCCCGCCGCCCCCCTTAGATTGCTGAGACGAGCGAATCGCCTGAGTCTGAGTGATGACTGAGTCTGAGTGATGAGAGAGCATGAGTGAGTCTGAGTGATGAGTGAATCTGAGTGGTGAGTCTGAGTGATGGGTGTGGTGTTCTGTCCTGTTCTGTGTCCTTCCGGCGCGGTCCGCCAATAACAAGAACCCCATCTTTGGATATGGGGAATAACAAGAACCCCATCTTAGGATATGGGGAATAAACAACAGATGCGTGTGCACATATACAAATACATGTGTGTACACACACACACACGCATATACATGTTTACTTTTCTGGCCGTCGCCGCTTTTTTATTGAAAAAAGTCCCTCTGTTCGATCTATGATCGGATTGGGACGGTTATGGCGCACGGTCGTTTGTGAGCTGCGAGGTCGGATCTGCTTGGGCCTGTGAGGAGGCCTCTTGGGGCCTCTTGGGGGGCCGTTTTGGGGCCTGTCTTGTGCCTGTTAGGGCTTCTTGGGGGCCTGTCTCGGGGGCTGCGGTTCGACATCTCAAATCGAGTTCTACCCCTTGGACCCGTCTGGGGGCCGTCCTGGGCCGTCTTGGGTGCTTGTTGGGCGCTTCTTGGGCCGTCTTGGGGCCCTCCTAGGGGCCTCTTGTGCCGTCTTGGGGTGATCTGGGAGGCCTCTTTGGCCGTCTTGGACGCCGTGAAGGCCGAACACGAACAATCGAATATGCTAAGAATGCATGTTCCCGTGGAAGAATGAAGCGATGTGTGCCTCTTGTAGCTCTGTTGGGTTGGTCTTTGGTTGTTTCTTGTGACGGCTTGGAAGTTTCTTGGGCCGTCTGGAAGCCATCTGGAGCGTTTTGGACCGATCGTTCGGCGATTCGGGGCCCTCTGGGCCCGTCTGAACAGCCTCTTGGGCTCCTCTCGACCCGTTTTTTCACCATCTCGCGACTCAACCCCTGCGCCTGGCCAGAAATCTAGGCATATCCGTTTTCGACACACACGCAAACGCACACACACACACACACACACGCTCACACATACACACACACACATTCACACACATACATACATACATACATACATACATACATACATACATACATACATACATACACACGTACGTACGTACATACATACATACATACATACACAAACACACACACACATACATACATACATACATACATACATACATACATACATACATACATACATACATACACACATACATACATATATACATACATGCATACATA